GAGAATTTATAAAATAATTTTATAACAAAAATGAAATTTAGTAATGTAATAAATATATGTTATGAATATAACTCATAAAAAAATATTTTCTTGAAAAAAATTAATATAGACAATTTATTTAATTATTAAAAATTATTATTTGCATATATTAAAATTATACTATGGAAAAAAATAAAAAAAATTATTAAATTAATAAACGAATTATAATTCTTTTTTACCTTAAATTATAATTTTTTGGAAGAAAGGAATGAATTTTTATTCAAGTTTTATTCAATTTTGAAAATTTTTGAAAATTGAAAATTTAAATAGAATGAGACATTAATTAAGGAGCTATAACATTATAGATTATTAATAAAATATTTTTATTACTGTATATAAAAACCGACAATATTATAACGCATGTAATACTTGTTTTTATTAAATTATAATTACAAAAATATGTATATATTATTGTATATAACTCACAAGATTTTTTTATCTTTTCGACTTTTAACGATACTTCGTCGCAATAATAAAGCAATTACTAAATATTACTTTATGTCGTTAAAGCTTGCGGCAGCATAGTTGTTTTTAAAGCTGCTTTATTTATTATTATTCTTGCATACCATGTTTATTGGTAAATCGATAAATTTATGCAACTTTATTTTTTATTAATGCAATTATTTATATGTAAAGTGACTTGGAAAACATAAATTTAAAAATCGTCTTATAATATGAAAAAAAAAAATAAAAAATAAAAATAATCGAAATGCTATTTTATCGTTATTAAATATTATTATAATACTTATTATAAACTGAGTAAAATTTGTAACTTCGAACTGTTTTATAGTATATTGTAGTTTTTTTTTAAAAAATATGAAATATAATGCAATTTTCAATTAATATTTCCAAGTACATCACAAGCTTATACACGGTAATTTATAACTTCTTTGAATCTTCGATTTCTTTTTTTTAAAAATCTAGTGTGAATAATTGTAACAAGAGGAAGACCTTAGAAGTTTTTACCGGCACGTTAAGAGAGTACAACACGTTTCATCGTCTGTATTCCTTCTTAATATACATAATATCTATATACGCGCGAATATTTTACAAATCTAATATCGAAAAAATACCATTGTAATAATTTCAACATTGTTATATACAGGCGCCAATAATCCCAGAAATATTGGCTTTTCACAGAATAAATACATTTTTAAAATTATTACAATTTTCTTTTTTTTAATAATTTCAGATGAACAAAAATGATATTTTTCATTCAAATATACACATATTGCCTTGAGTGAAATATATTACATTAAAACGAATATCAAAGCAATATTCGAAGCTCAAAACTTTGAAATTACTTATGTAATAAAATACTTTATTCGACATTTATATAATATTTTAAAATCTTTCGATTTCAAATATTTTCTAATTATTTGTTACCAATTGCAAAAAACACAAATAAACATTTATATTTATATTTTTCTTTTGTGTTTAGAATTACTTTTTTTTTTTCCTATTGCTATTCAATCGAAAAGAAGTCGGAAAAATTAACATTTTCAACATTGCAGAAAGCAAATTTCGTATTGTAAAAATTTGTTCAAATATCCGTTTATTTTGGTATTCGTATCAATTTTATGATCACAAGTTTATTAATTTTTCATAACTGTTATAGTTTTATAATGGCAAGTAATAATTTGCTAGCGAGTACAAATGACGCAACTTTATTAGCTGCGCAATGCAAAATTTATACCTCATTTTACGACTCAAGTTATCGAAACAAAGCAAATTATCTGATAGATGCTACAATTTTACTTATTGATTGACAAAATTAATAATAAGACGAATCATCGTTTATGATCTATTATTATCTATCTATAGCAGTATTATTCGGATAGATTGTGTAAAAAAATTTTGATAAATTTTAATAAATGATAAATTGTCTTTAAGAAATTTAAATGTATATATAGAAAAACGATAAAGCTAACATTTTTTATCTTAAATATAAAAATATAGCTCATTCGAACATAATTATTTTTTTAAATTTTTCTACATATTCCATAAAATCCACCTAAATTTATACTATCTATATTAATAAAATAATTAGATTAAGTTATATTTTATGGAATAGAAAAGCAAAAAGCAAAAAAGAATTTGTCAAAATTAAAAAAAGGAATTCCATATTTATATTGTTTCTTGTGAATTTTTTATGAATTAATTTTTATTTTGTACTTATTCGATTCGTGAAAATTATATTATTTATTACTCAATTTATTATAAGTACTCTCATGAAAGTATATTATAGAGATATATGTAGAGAAAATTCAAAGAATAGATAATAATAATAATTTTTTACTCGATTTTAAAAGGTAATGTCCAATTTAATTATTAAAAAAACAGATAAGAATCGAAGATAAGAATCTAAATTATAATTAAGAGAAAGAAAAAAAAAAACAAAAGACTAAAATTAATGCAATGGAATGAGCAAGGATTTTGTTCCAAAAAATTTACTTGTATCATTTTTTGTATTAATTTTGGATTGTATATATGTTTATTACGAATGATTAATTAATATTCAAAATAAGTGATCTTAGAATAATACTTTATCAAAATTTAAAATTATCAAATGGAAATATTGTTATATAAGTTGATTTTCATTAATAATTTAAGAAAATTGAAAAAAATTATCAGAAACGATGGTTTTTTTTATTAAAATTGATTATTATGAAACACTTATTTATCAAAGATTATTTTTTGATATTGAAAGTTTTTAATATGACATCAATAATTTGACAGTGACAAAGTTCATCATTAATTATATTGAATCATTAGTTTGTTATATAATATATATATATAATTTTCTCAAGGCTTTTAATTCTCAAAAGAATTAATTTTTATAATTAACTTATTAAATTTGGACATCAAAATATCTATCGTAATATTTTAAAACAAAACTAATAACTTAAAATAATAAATACATAAATAATAAGCAATTATCACGAAATAAAATGAGTAACTATCATGGAATTATTTGAGTTATTTCGAAATAATCTTTGAGAATGTGATGATATATTATTTTTTTTGAAAAAATTTAATATTATTATTTAGCAAAACAATTCTAAAATTATTATGAAGTTATCCTATTATTTTAATTATGAATTCTTATTATAGAAATTATTTATTGCATTGTGCTTGTTTTAAATTAGAAAGTTTTTGAAGTTTTTTGATGTCCTCTAAGATTTTATTAAGAACTAGTTTTATTTATACCAGATAATTTGACTCATTCAATGAGGTATGTACAATATTATTAAATATTTTGTTATTTTATATTTAAATAAATTCTTTTCTCTTTATTAGAGAAAGTTGGCAACTAGACAGTTTTAATTTTTATTATTATTCATAAGGATTTATCGCATTTAAAATAATAAATCGAAATTATTTTTATCAAAAGTAAATAGAGAAGACGATAAAATAAACACGTATTAATATTATATTAAGTCATTCCATAAATTATATCATCATTGAGTTTAAAAATATATAATTTGATTAAAAATATTAGAACTAATTTATTTTATGAAAATTAATTTTTCATAATACATAATATAAATATAACAATATAAACGAAATTAATTGTCCTAATTAGAGTTATTATTTAGATATTTTACATTTATAAATTTAGATTTTATTTTTTACGTGGTTATTGAAATAAGATTTATTCTTTATTATTTCGGATAATTTATCACTTGATATTGGAAATGTTAATTATCTATTACAGTAGATAAATTTTAAAATTTCAGCTTGCTAAAATATTAGGTTGAACAGAAAATTTTTATATTTTCGTTTAGCATTCTCTTCAGAATAATTATACTTTTATTTTTATTTTAATTTTATTTATAATTTACTTCTATATATTAAAAATAATAAAATTTTTCTAGTTTCTTATATTTTCTTCAATAATTAACAATCTATAGAGAAAAAAAATTTGTTAATAAAATATTTATTTTTACTTGACATTTATAATTTTTTATAATTGGTTTGAGTGATAATTATAGAAATAATAATAAATATTTGTAAGAAGTTTCAAAAAAAATGTTATTATGATTTGAAATATGCAATGTCTAAAATATAAATATATATCTTGAAATAATTATAATAAAATGTTTATATAATTATATAATTCATAATTCGGAAAAAAACAAATTAAATTGAATAAAAAAAATATATTGTATTAAGAAATTAATACATCATAAGAATTATTTTCAAATAAATAATTATATATGATAATATGATATTTTACGATAATATTCGATGAAAGCAAGCATGAATAATTCATGAAAGACATATGTATTAAATATGCATGATTTTATCGTAAAAAGAAGTTTATTCTGTGATAGAAAATGAAATAATTTATTATAAATATTTTTAATTGAATTAAAAAATTGCAATATTTATTATAACTAATTATCATTAATATTTTTTCAATATTAAAAAATTAAATTAAAAAATAATTTTCCATATATTTATTTGGTTTTTGAAAATCCTATTTAAATTATTCCAAGATCATTTAATCGCAATATAAAGAAATTATAAAAAAAAGTCAACATATGAAATTATTTCTAATTTAAGTAAATTATGAAATTTTTTATAAAAAAAAATAAATGTTAAGACGCAGCATCAAAAATTAACATATTATTAGTTTTTTAAGAATAATTTAATATATTTAATAAAAACTTCGTTCAACCTTATACTTCAAATGCCAGAAATAATATAAATATAAATCTTTTTGAAACTATTTTTCTATGAAAATTATATAATGAAATATTTATTTAAAAAGAAAATTAAAATTTTTAATTAATATTTAAAAAGTTATTAAAAACAATAAGTCCATAAAAAAGAATATATATAACAAATACTATTTTAAGAAAAATCATTTGTTAAAATTCTATTTCTTATGGAATAACCTAATAATTATATTGCACGATATGATCCATTTTTACAAAATTGTATATTATAATTTTATCTTTAATTACGACAATTGTTGTATTGTTTTTGCCACAATAACAAATCGTAATTACAAAATGATGAAAATGAATCAGAGATGTGCGAGCACCTCAACAGCAGCTACCGGAGGTGTTTGATCGCCGTTCAAAATTACTGGTTCCGATTCAGTCTGAACAATCCTAACGAGATTCGCATCCTTTTTCGATGGCGTGACATTCGTGTTTGATGCAACGTTCGATCTGGTGCAATAGCTCGGCGGTCTGCTTTCTCTAATCGTGCCAGGATTCACAATGCTTCCAGCATTCGATCTGTAAGTCGGTGGAGGTGAAGATGTTGGCTGCAATCGATCCAAAAGGAGCAGCCTAAGTCTGTACTCTTGCATGCTTGCCTGAAATTAGAGAGATTTAATTTAAATTTTTTTTACTTGTACATAAAAAAGAATGGTTTATTGATCAAACATTACATGAAATTTTAAATGAAAATCTTAAAACAGCCGATTGTTCAAATAAATTAATTGTAAAAAAACAATAAATTAATGACTAAAATTGTGACTGCGTTTAATATAAAAAATTATAATTTACTATTATATTATTACATAAATGTTCAATCATTTTTATTTTTTTTTAATCTATTTTCTCGATTTTATTATATTATGAAATGTATGAAATACAAAAACATAGATAATTTGAAAATATTCATGTTGAAAGTATTTTATAAATCATAAATCAAATATGAAAACTAAATAAGAAACAACTATTCAAAATCGATAAAAAACACAAGTGATAAACGATATTTTTAAAATGTCACCTGATAACTCGGAGGTGGCGTTCTAAATTGGAATTCCGGATAAATCATGGCAGCATACGGATGGATTGGCCTCGCTGGCGGGATTCTGCTCGAGATTCCCGTGAAACCAAAGAAACTGCTGCAATTTTCTCGACTGGTCACTCGCCACGCTACAGCGCTCACCGTTACCAGAACCACTCCTATACCTATAACAAAATGCATCATGTCAAAAAAATACTTATTACTTCTTTTGAAAATTTAATATCTATCATATTGTATTCATTGAATTTTCAAGAAATTTTAAAATTCTGATTATTTTTTATAACAATAAAAATAAAAAAATAAAAAATTAATCACATTTTTTCATCAATTTTAACAATTTTCTTATTGATAAAAAAAATTCGAAAATGAATGAATGATGAACAAAAATAATTGGATTAAAGATTTACTAAACTTCAGATTTTAATTTTATATTATCGTTATTAATTCACATAATTTTTAATCATTTTTCTCAATTTAATTCGATAAAAAAGTGATAGAAGAGACTTTTTTTTAAAAATAATGTATATATTGAAAATAATGCGTAAGATTCTATATTTATTTACAGAATTTTTTTTTGAATTTCTGAATTTTATAATATATTTTATTATATCATATTATATTTTATAATATATAAATAAATTTATATAGCATTATTATAATTCAAATATTTATTTATATATAGCATTATTGTAAATAAAATATACATTTTATATTGGAAACAGAATTTTCAATTAAAGTTATATCTGCATATCATAATTTTCTTAAATAAAAAAATAATAAATTTCAAAAATATTTTTATTACATTTTCTTTGATATCTTAAATTATTTTATTTTTTGAGATATACTTATATAATAATAAATTATCCTTTATATAATAATATTCATGCAATAATACATCAAATTATTCATCAAAAGTTTTAGTGAAATAAAATAACAATATTCGTCTAATTATTTTAATAATATATTACTCTAATGTTACTCTAAATATTTTTTTATAATATTAAAAAAAAGAGTTAAAAATAATTAAAAATTGAAAATTGTGATTAAAAAAATATCTCTAATAAAAAAATATCTCTAATAAATTTAAAAAAAAATATTAAAATAATTATATATAAAATAATTAATAAAATATAATATTTAGGAAAATATTTAGTCAATAATAATTATTGATTTATTATATTATATAATAATATTTCTAAAAATGGACATCACTAATAATAAAAAAAATGTATTATTATTTTTAACATTAATATATATTAATCATTAAAATATATATTAATCATTATTCTCAAATGTAAAACAATTCCAAAAATATTTTTTGAAATTTTTAGCAAATTCAAAGTAAAAAAAAAATACAATTATTAAACGAAGATGAAATTATATAATAATTATATAAATAATTTATATAATTAATTTAATTATATAATTATAATTATAAATCTTATACGATCTCTTATTGGAACATTTCCTTTTATTTTTAATCATTAATAATGACCTCGATTCATATAAACATTTTGCATAGAATACCTTATATGTATCCATATAGTATTGATGGCATTCATGTTTTTTTATTACAAGTAGATTGCTATAATTTCGATTGCATAATTATAAACACAATATGCATAATTATTAAAACATTATTATTGATGCAACAGTAATTAATATTATTTTAAATATACAATTTAATATAATATAAAATATTATTTTAAATCAATATTATTTTAAAAATTTTTTAATAATCGAATATTAATGAATTTTATTGAAAAATTATTTTTATTCACTTTTATGTATAATATTGTTTAATTATATTAATATGTTATAATTAAATAATTATACTATATGTTATTATATATATATTTTTAAAGTTTAATTAACAATAATTAATAATATATAAAAATAAAATTTGTTAATGAAAATATTAAGATTTTTCACAATTCAAATAAAAAAATTTTAATTTTAATTTTAAGTAATATTATATGCAAAATATAAAAATATAAAGATATTAAAAAATATTTCTTTTTGATCTATTTATAATTATATAAATTATATATATAATTATATAAATAATCGAATGTATTACATAAATTAACAATATTTTTCTTTATTATATTGTATTTGCTATAATTTATGTTATGTATGTATAATATATATTATATATGCAATTTAATTTACTAATAAAATAAATTTGAGAAAAATACTTATTAATTAATAACTAATTAATATTTTTTCATTAAAAAAATGTAATTAAAGTAAAAATATTATGCTTATAAAATTAATTAAATATATCAAATAATATATTAATTATAAAGATACAATTTACATTTAATTCAAATACAAACTTAAATACATATAGTTAAACAAATATTTTACAGAATTATTTTATTCGGGATTATATATAATTTGAAACAATATAATAATTTCAAACAATAATAGTACAATAATAAAAATATTATATGCAAAATATAAAAATATAAAGATATTAAAAAATATTTCTTTTTGATCTATTTATAATTATATAAATTATATATATAATTATATAAATAATCGAATGTATTACATAAATTAACAATATTTTTCTTTATTATATTGTATTTGCTATAATTTATGTTATGTATGTATAATATATATTATATATGCAATTTAATTTACTAATAAAATAAATTTGAGAAAAATACTTATTAATTAATAACTAATTAATATTTTTTCATTAAAAAAATGTAATTAAAGTAAAAATATTATGCTTATAAAATTAATTAAATATATCAAATAATATATTAATTATAAAGATACAATTTACATTTAATTCAAATACAAACTTAAATACATATAGTTAAACAAATATTTTACAGAATTATTTTATTCGGGATTATATATAATTTGAAACAATATAATAATTTGAAACAATAATAGTACAATAATAAAATTACAAATATTATATAATATTATATAATTGTATTAATTTTATTAAATTAACAAAATAAAATTAAATTTTATTAAATTGAAAATTTTGTTACGCAAAAATTTTTAAGCAATAAATGATATGTATAAATATTGAAAATCAATATTGAATATCAAGTGATCTGTATGTTAGATACATGTATAAAAATATAAATGGGTGAAAATCTAAGTGAAATGCAACGGATGAGTAGATATAGCAAAGATGACGGAATTGTTAAGCATTGTCGCGTTTCTCATGAGCCTCTATATGTGAGAATAGTGAGAGCTGAGAAACCATCCTCGAAGGAAGAGAAACAACGATACAAACTTTCGTGATTACACACCCATCTATATTTTTTTTTTTAGCTGCTCTTGCTATTTTTAATATTTTCGTTTTAATCTCTACAATTTCTAAACTAAATTCTACAAATTTTTTTTTCTCATTCAATTTATTCCATAATGCATCATTTCTCCATATTTGCATTTTAATTTTTAAATTATTTTTCTTTCAGCAAATAGCTTCGAGGCATTTACTTTTTTAATTAGATACATTACTGCTTATAAATATCCAGATTTTTTTTTGCTTGATTTATTATTATAACAGAGTAATTTAAGGCAAAATGAAACACTATTTGAAACAATCTTTTCAAGTCTTGAACTATTTTATCGTTAACTTTTTACAATGCTTATTCTACAATATTTATTCTGAAATTATTAAAATATATTTAATAAAATTATCTTGTAATGTAATGTCATTTTTAAAATTTTTTGCAATATTTATTAAACCAATGTTTCCCATTTTTCGATCTGTTTTCATAATAAATAACCAAATAAAAAATATTATATTATTATACTATATAAAAATATATTTCTATTAAAATAAAAGAAATAATATAATAAAGAGATAATAATAATAATAATAATAATAAAGAGATAAAAAGAATATTTTATTAAAAATCAGGAATGTAATACATAAAATTTTATAAAAATTAAAAAGAAATATTAAAAACCTGTCTTAATATATATATAATTTGATGCAAATATAATATAATATATTTATATTATCAAATATAATATATTTAATTTATGATTATGATAAACCTCTAATATTTTTTAAATATTTCTTGCAATAAATCTTAACTTACTTCCATAGAAATTTAATAAATAAATAAATTTTATATATAAATAATTACGAAGTAAAAATAATTATAGTGATTCTTCAAAAATCATTTTGCATTCAATTTTGCATTCTTCAAAGTTAATTCATAGATTGAAAATCTATATCCAAAGATTATATGAAATTTTATTTATTTTATTAAATTTTTTTTATCATGATTTACTTTTATGATAGATTTTAATAGTTTTATAAATACAGAAAATATAAAAATTAAATTATTTTTTTATAATTTTTTTTTGTTTCAATAAAATCAATTATTTTATTTGAATAAAAAATATAGAATTTTAATTTTTATGAATAAAATTCAATTAAAATTTTATAAATATTATGGTAAGTGATATTTTATAGATTTTATAGCATATTTTATAGATTTTTACATGTATAAATATTGACAATTTAAAATACTATATATATTGCATATACAAAGTGTGTCATATAAACAATTGTTAAAAATAAAAAATGTATAATTGGATAGCAAAATTAAAAGTAAGAAAATATAAATATTAACTATTAGTATTATTACAATTATTAAATATTACTATTTCATAAAATATTTGAATATTACAATATATATAATATATTTATTTTAAAATATAATATATAAAAATATTAATCTGTGTCATGTTTATTTATTAAACCCACATATAAAAATTTATAATTTTGATTATAATTGATTGATTATTATAATCATTTAAATATTTTTTAATATATTTTTATATTTTAGTTTTTTAAAAAAGAAATAAAAGATATTTAAGAAATAAATTTTCACAAATTTCTTGAGAAAATGTGAAAGCAAAAATTTAAACATCTAAATGTTGTTTTAATTAACATATAGAAAAGATACTTTCATTATTTGAGAAATTAAGAACTATGAATACATTAGCATATAAAATTTAAATATGCATAAATATGATGAAAATAATTTAAATTAAATGAAGGAAATATTAATTTAAATTCCTCTTTTAAAAATAAATAAAGTGATTAAAATTTACTATTAATATTTAACAATTCTCATTTTAAATTATATGTTATATATTTAAATTATATATA